GGCAGGCGTCCCAGACTGTGCCACAACATTGACACATATCACTGTTGTCTTGTTAAGGCGAAGGTCGGACAAGGAGAGGGCATCACAGCTTCACCAACCCAACAGTTCATGGGATGGAGGCCCCTGAATCCTCAGGGAACTAAGCAGCAAGGCCCAGGCCAATCTCACTCGGAGGTCAGCATGGCAGTCCTGGGCAAGTGACACAGCCTCTGAACCTCAGGTTCCTCTCCTGCAAGTGACCACCTTCCTTGCGGAAGGCTCAAGGCCCGTGGAGGTAGGTGGGCGCGCAGACCAAAGGGCAGCGAGCGGCAGCTCCTGAGACTCAGAAGGCAATCAGGCCTGTCTTGTTCAGTTCCCAAACCTTCCCTGAGGACCTAGCTCAGAGAGCTGCCCTGACCTCGGGCAGGCTGAACCACAAACTACTGGCCCCAAAACGTCCCACAGGCCAGTGAGTGACATTGAGGCCTGAAGGTCGCAGGCTGACAGCAGTCCTTGGGACATCCACCTCCCGGGCAATGCACACAGGCCACAGCCGCACAACCCCATCCCTGCGTCCACCACGGGCTGCTGTTCATTATCTCCTCTGGCAAGACAGGACCAGGCCCAGAGACAGCCACAAAGAGCACCGGGGGCGGGGGGCAGCACTCAGGAACACTCCCTGCGTGGCCCAGCTTCCAGGGCCTGCGTGCAATGCTCTCCTGAAGACACGGCCCCAGGCACTCAAATGGGGGGCACACACCGCTGCTGACACCGCCGGGACCCTGACTCTGGCTCTTGTCAGAGGACAACCAGGTTCTGTCCAGCAGCTACCTTCGCATTTGAATGAAGGTGGCTTAAGAATCCGTGCATAACCAAGCCACCCGCAGCGTCAGCACTGCGTGTAAACCCCATGCCTCCGGACCCCGTGCTGAGGAGCGCTCTGGCAGCCACCTCGGGCTGAGTCCACCCCCCAGCCGTAGACGTGGTCTCCATCGGTTCCTCCTCTCCCGCAGCGCTCATTCACACCTCCACCTTCCTTCCACAGCCTCCCTGCTGCCCTAGCGGGCAAGCCCCAGGACTGCGCACACGGCCACCACAGCAGCCACCAGCCAGGCGGCTGTCCCGGTCCCGCCGGGCCCCCAGGAGCCGCGGCGCCCGCACGGCCCGGGGCTCGCCGCCTCCGTTCCCCACCCGCTCCGCGGGGAGCCTCACCATGGCAGCCCGGGCTCTCGGGGTTCCAGCTTCCTGGCTCCGCGTCCCGGCTCGGAGGGCAAAGGCCGAAGACGCGTGCGTGAGGCTGCTCTGAACATGCGCAGTGCTCTCCCGGGACGGGACGCCGGCGATGACGCGCCGGGAAGGGCGGGGTCGAGCACAAGCCCCGCCCCTGGAGGAGGGGCCGGAAACCTCCGCGCATTCTGTCCCCTCAGGTTTGTCACAGAGCGGAAGGTGCACCCCTCTCAACTGTGAGCCATTCTCCCCTTACTTTTACCAGAGTATTTGGAATTAAGACATTAATCATCTGAAATAAGCCAACATAAGGAGAAGGCCAAATAATCAGTACGTTTAAGAAAAGGGCCCGGCGCTGTGGCCTAGCAGCTAAAGTCCTCACCTTGAACGCGCCAGGATCTGATACGGGCGCTGGTTCTGATCCCGGCTGCTCTACTTCCCCACTTCCCATCCAGCTCCCTGCTTGTGGCCTGGGAAAGCAGTCGAGGACGGCCCAAAGCCTTGGGACCCTGCACCCGTGTGGGACACCGGAAGAAGTTCCTGGATCCTGGCTTCAGATAGGCACAGCACCAGCCGTTGTTGCGGCCACTTGGGGAGTGAATCATTGCACGGAAGATCTTCTCTGTCTCTCCTCCTCTCTGTATATATCTGACTTTGCAATAAAAATAAATAAATCTTTGAAAAGAGGATTCTTGTTTCTTTAATTTTTAAAATTTTGATGGTCATTACATAGTTTATTAGGGCTCAAAGGGTCAAAGGCTGCAGGAAAATGGGTAAGATCGTTGTTTCCACTTTCTCTTTTTTCCTTCCTGGATCTAGGGAAAGGGGAGAGACAAAGGGAGGAGTCACACTCACCCTCCCTACCATCCCAGGGTCTGAGATCACCGCTCAAGTGACTTTGATAGTTCAACTGTTCTGAATTGCCGCCAGTCTCACCACTCCAAGCACGATGAAGTCTCTCCAGAATCCACTGGCTGACACAGTCCACCTTAATCTCCACTTGCTCAGATTTTCACTGCCAACAGTTGGCTGGGGCAGTTGATCAGTTTTTCTATTCTGTTGTGGTGCCAGGTGTCCTTTGCAGGCTCCAGTGTATTACCATATTCTGCATGTACACCTGAATATGCTGTCCACTGCTCCGTCTGAGCCTCTGAGGCAGCTCAGCTTTGACACTTGCACTCCATGGTCAGACCATGGAACCTGCACTTCTCTTCATAGTTGGGGTTTTGAGTCCGGAAGGTCGATTGCGGAGATCCCCCAAAAAACTTCATCTGTAGTGATCCCAGACCAGATTCCTGGGTGTGCTTGCCAGTACAGGGTCCGGCACAGTCCGGCACCCTAGTCAGCCTATGCATGTTCTGGTGGTTGCAATTGCTGGGTCAGTTCTGCCTCCAGCCCTGTCTTCTACACAAACCAATGGGTGTTGGAGCCCATCCCAATCCTGCCCACCACACACTTGGCCACATAAACCAGTGGGAGCTGCAGCCTAGTTGGGGTGACTCCCAATAACCCTCACCAGGCCTGCCTCCTGCCCTGGTTCCCATGCTTGCCAGTATGTACAGCAGACTGGTCCAGTCTGTCCCACATCCCATTCAGCTCTCATACATGTCAATGGGCATTGAAGCCTAGTTCAACCCAACCAGCCCTACTATCCAGCCCACACACCTGCCAATGGGTGCCACTCTGTCTAGCCATGCCTGCCCCAGTCCTGGTTCTCATGCTCACCAGAGTGGCACTCCAGGAGGGAAGTGTCCACTGTTTCCCTATTGGGCCCCTCCCACTCCCAAATCATGCACTCTCCAGGTGGTTCTGAAGTTTGGCTTGACAGAATTAGCCCCCCATGCTAGCATCTGCTAGCTGATGCTGTGGCAGAGCCCAACCAACCCACACCCACTCTGACTTACACTTGCACCAGTAGGAACAGTCAACCCAGCCTGGCTTTTCCCTGGTCCAGCTCACATGAGGCCAACAGGTGTTGTAGCTCTGCCTGGCCTGGTCTGCCCCCCAACTCACACTCTCCAGTGGGAGTGGTGATCCAGCAGGGGAGCCCTCCACATCCCCCTACCAGATCTGCCTCCTCCCCCTGGGTCTTGTGTGTGCTGGCTGAGTGGCCTGCCTCACCTCAGCTTTTGCTAGTGGGTGCTATAGCCTGGGCCGCACTGGCTCACCCTCAATTCCAGCTTAGGTTGGTGGGGGGTTACAGCGTAGTCCAGAACAGCCAGCCCCATGTCCAAGCCCTCATCTGTACTGGTGTGTGCTGCAACCGAACCCGGCCCAACCTGCAGTCCATTCTGGTGTTCAGGTTTGCCAGTGTGTGATGTGAACTGCCTCTGCTTGGTTCGCCCCCAACCTGTGCCGTATATAATGGTACCCACCAACCTATGCCAGTGGGTACCATTCCCTAGCCTAGTCTGGGCCGCTTGTGCATGGTTCTTGTGCTCACCTGAATGGACTGTGTCCTGACAGAGAAAACAGGAAATTTGCAAGCAAGCAGGCTTCAGTCCAGTTCCCTTGCGCACCCCCAGGGACATTTCCAGACAGCTCCCAGCTTTCCCTGTTACCTCCTCAGTGAGGCTCCCTTAATCCCACAGAATTGTGCCTTGCCCACCAAGTCTTTAAAAAGAAAAAAGGACAATTTAGATGAGCTATAACCCGTAGGCTGCAACAATGCAACATTTTTTATTTTTACAAGAATGTTTATTTACTTAAAGAGCAGAGTGACTGAGGGAGGAAGGAGAGAGGGGGAGATCTCCATCCACTGGTTCACTCCCCGAGTGCCTCCAGTGCCTGGACCACCTCTGTGGGTGGCAGGAACCTAGGCCTCCCAGTGCATTAGCAGGGTTGCCAGATAGAAGCTCTGCAGCCAGATCTGAGCCAGGTGTTCCCAGACACTGACAGGGGATGCGGCTGCCCTGAGAGGCCGGACCCTGTACTGGCAAGCACACCCATCGGGCCACAGAGCCTGCCACAGATCAGCACTTTTAGTGCACCAGCCAGTGCTCTTGGTGTTTTCAGGGTGGCCAGCACCATGGGAGTTCCAGGACACACCAGTCACTGCCCCTCCTCTCCCACTGCCATAGCCCCTCTCTGCCCGGCCCGTTCTGACAGCATCCCAGTCCACCCTGGTGTCTCCCCCTCCCTGTGCACCCCCCCCACACACATATATCTGATCTTGCCCTTCTTCCCCAAGGCTCCTAGTCCCTCCACTGCATTCGCATTCTCTAAGCCTTTTACATCCCAGTCTGGGGCCTCTAATTTGTTCCCTGTGAACAAGACTCACCTCTCTTCCACTCTCGGAGGTCAAGTATTTGGAGAGGTGTCTGGCGGGAGCGTGAGCAGGACTCTCCCACATGTCTCCTCAATAAATGAAATCCAGGCTGCCTCTGATGGCTCTCTGGACTGCTGCCCCTCCCCCACCCAGGGCCCTTGCCGTGCTGACCTCCCTTTTGTCTGATATGGGAATCTCCTGGCTGCCTCCCCAGTGACCCTGCACTTGTCACTGGCTGTCACAGCGTCTGGCCTCAGTATGGCTCCTGTTACTCTCTACTAGCTCACTCCTCCCGTGAGGCTATGAGCTGATGCCCTCTGAGAGACTCATCCCTCCTGTTCATGACTGCGTGCCACCATCCAGGGTCCCGGGCGCCGCTGGCACCTGTGTGTCCAATGAATCAAGTCCCAGTAGCCCAGGGCAAAGCCCTGAGGCACCAGGAGAGCCGGGGCCACATCACCTGTTCCTGCTATTATGTCCTTGCCCCTCTCCAGCCAGCCCCAAGACCAGCACAGCACAAGGGGTGGCCAGCGTACAAAGGTTTAATTGTTGAAAATATCCAGGGCAGCTATGGGCCGGTCCCTGTGGGGTACCTACCCTCCAAGTTGGACCAGCAGCTCTGAGATGCTCCCTTCTGGCTTTGAGCCTGGGCAACTGGTCCCAGGCCCCTGAGGCAGGTGCTGTTCCAAATCACTTGGTGGGGGAGCCAGCCCCCCAGGTCCATGATGAACTGGGACAACAGGCAAGATGGGATGGCAGGTGGTAGCTGAAGGTACCAGCTTGGGTCTGCCCAAGCAGACGAGGAGGGCAGGGCAGACGAGGAGCCCTGGGCCTGCCCAGGCCCATTCTGTTCACCCCCTGCCCACCCCCCATACCCTTTGCTCCACATGCTAGCAGGCATCTGAGAACAGGCAGCCAGGCACAGAGAAAGCAGAGGTGAAGGCAGTCCACTGGATTGCAGGGCCCAGAGGCCATGGGCCAGGACGTGCCGGGCAGGGGAGGCATCTTCCAGATGGAGAGGAAGCTGTGAGAGGTGCCAGGGCACCAGGTGGTTCTAGGACATGGTAGTGGCAGGTGAGGCCAGCAGTGACTGGTGGGCAGGCTAGTCCTGGGGGCACAAATCGGAAGTGGGAGGGAGGTAAGTGTGCTCCAGAAGGGAGGTGACTGAGGGCTGCCTGTGGGTGTAGGAGGAGCAAGGCCCACAGGCCACTCACCCACTCATCCTCATCCACTCCTTCGAAGGAGTCCTGTGGCAGCGGGTCCTCCCGGTTGCCTAGCTTGGCCACCATGGCACACAGCAGCTGAGGGTATGGAAAAGGGCCAGACAGAAGGGTTGGGAGGGGACTAGGACTCTCTGAACCCAGAAGCAACCAAGCCCCGTGGCTCAGACCCAAACACTCTTGGAGAAGCCATTCTCTTGATGAGCCTGGGCAAAGCTGATGGGTTTTCACTGAAATAGGTACTGGAGTCAGAGGAGGAATGAGAGAGAGGAGGAGTGGAGACAGGAGACCTCAGACAGAGGTGGGTTCTGCCATAGAGAGGTGCCAGAGAGGAGTCAGGACAGAGGTTGGGTCAGGAAGTCTGGACAGAGGCTGTGGTAGTGGCACCAGACACAGGTGTGGCCAGTTCCATACCATTCCTCAGATTTTCAGTTGCACACCGGAATGTCAAAGGCACTGGGAGCCCAACCTTTGGATTTGGTTGTGTTAGGCCTGGCTAGAGGGCCCCCTACCACTGCCAGCTTCTTGTAGGTGCTGGGGGTGGGGGTTACACCAAGTCAGCAGTGGGATGGAGCAGGTGTGATGTGTAGCTCCACTCCCAGCCTGGGTCAGAGTTGAAGAAACGGACGGTGGGGCACAGCCGGGGCCCTTCACCCAGTCATAGGCAGCCCTCGCCCTTGCCTACCTCTTCCTTTTTTTGCTGGTCTGACTTCTCTTCCAAGTACTGCGCTGAGGATGGGGCCCGCCGAGCAGACGCCTCACGGGGGGCTTGGCTCACTTGGGCACAGTAAGGACAGACATCAGAAAGTCCCCTGGATGGACCATCTGGTGCCAGCCCCTAGAGGATTCCATGGCAGAATTCCCAGAGGTGGCACTAACAGTGACCACAGCCTCTGAGTATCAGAGTATGCGTGTGGAAGATCCAGGGGGTGGGGGTAGGGACTTGCCTCTGGGACTCAGGAGATGGGGTAGAGATGGGCCACCCCCATCCTTAGGAATGCCAGAGGTCTCTGTGTGCCAGCAGGCATGAACAGCTGGATTTGAGCCTTCAGCCCCTGCCTTGTCCCCTACCCATCCCCCAGTCAGTCCTTCACTCTACCTGGGGTCATGCCGGGGGGCTGCAGGCTGAGCAGGCGGGGCTTCGCATTAGCACCTGCCAGCCAGGCCTCGGCACTGAGCACAGGCTCCCAGGTCACTGCTGTGGCTGGGAACACGTCATCCTGGAAGAACTCTTTCTGCGGAGGCAGGGAGGGCTGCCTGAGACACTGATCAGAGCCCTGAGGCACATGTGCTCCTCGCCAACCCCCAGCCCCAAGTCTGTGCTTGGTTCCCAAGAGTTTCTGTGGGACAAGGGGCAGGAATCCCCAAAGGGCAGTGACAGGGTGAGACCTAAATCTCCCAACAGATGTTAGGAAGCAGCTGGACAGGGTTGGGCTTTGGAGCCCTGGACCTCCATCTCACCCGGACTCGGGGCAGCCGGAAAGCCACTGGCTCTAGGGAGGTTTGACGCAGTCGCAGGCATCGAGCAAATTCCACTTCCCGCACGTCACACTCTGTCTTGGGCAAGAGGACGAAGCCCTGGGGGGTGGGGGAGAGGAAAGAGGAAGTTGGGACAAGAGGCCAAAGCTTCAGGAGACCACAGGGCCACGGTCATCCCGGGTTGGGGGGGGGGGCGGTGTTGGTAATGTGCGATGGTTGCTCTTGGCAGAGAAAAGCCCTGTGGGTAATATGTGTTGAGAATTCCCACCATGGCAGTTCAAGCAGGCGTTACTGGGGGACAGAGAGCAGCACAGCTTCCAGGATGCACGCAGTGTCCACATCCTTGGGACTGAGTCCATAGACGAACACCAGTCAACAGCACAAGCAACAGATACACTGGGCAAAACTGTTAGGAAGTGTGGGGTCAGTGCTTGGCCTAGCAGTGACGTTATCTGCATGTGCATGGGTTTGATACCCACCTCTGGCTCCTGACTCCAACTTCCTGCTGACAGAGACCCCGAGAGGGTAAAGGGAGGTTTCAGGTCATTGGGTTCTGTCACCCACGTAGTAGGCCTAGAGGGACTTCTCAGCCCCAACTGTGGATTCAGCCCAGCCCCTAGCACCGGTAGGCACCATAGGAGAAAATCAGAGAACGGCAGCTCTCTTTGCTTCTCTAATTCAAGCAAAAATGGAGCAAGTAGGTGGCTAAGCTGCTGGTTTGGCTGCTCAGGTCCCACATCTGGGTGCCTGGGTCCCAGTCCCAGCTTCATTTCTGATCCTTACTTCCTGCTGATGGATACCACCCTTGGAAGCAGCAGGTTGAATCCTTGCCACCCATTTGGGAGATTCAGATGGAGTTCCTCATTCCTAGCTTTGGTCTGGTCCAGCCTTGGCCATCACAGGCTTGTGGGGGCACAAACCAGCAGAAGAGTGCTGTGTCTTTCAAACTAATTTAAAAAGGGAGAATAATTGGGAAGTGACAGTGAAAAACTGAGCGTAGACATCTGGTGTTATTCCTGGGTCAGTTCCAGGACCCACTGAGCAGACTAAACCTGCAGATGCTCCAGTCCCTTACCTAAAATACCAGGTGCTGGCCCAGAACCCTCTGAGCATCCTCCAAGCACTTCCAGTCCTTTCTAAATCACTCACAGCCCTTAACGCAATGCAAATGCTGTGTAAACAGCTGTCACTCTGTGATGCTTAGAAGTCATAGTTAGAAAGCATATAAATGTTTAGTGCAGAGGCAATTAAAAATAGTCGACCTGGGGATGCAGCACCTGTCTGTGTGTGTGTGGAGCTGCATTTATTACCTTAGTTTTTATAGGTTCATGTAATGTAATCTCATGGAGCTTATCATTTAATAATGGCTGAGCATAATGGCTTGTTTTCAACATCCCCAGACAGGAGTGGATTTCTCTGGTACTTTCTGTTCCCTAGAAGGGACCACCACTTGGGACCCCTGTGGTCCCAACAGTGTCCTGGCTCCAGTCCCAGCTACTCTGCTTCTGATCCTGTTTTCTGCTAATGCATCCTGGGGAGTAGGAGATGATGGCTACAGGACCGGGAGCGCGGCCACCGACGTGATGGGAGACCTGGATAGATTTCCAGATTCCTGGCTTTGGCCTATCTCAGTCTTGGAGGCAGACAGATGGATGTATATCTATCTGTTACTTTGATTTTCCAGTAGATGCAAACAAATAAGTAAACTATATATATATATGTATATGTATATATATATATATATATATTTTTTTTAAATCCTAGACATTTTCACAACTGGCTCCTGCAGCATCACCCCCACAGCTCCTGGCTTGCTGAACCCACAGGCTCCTGCACTTCCCCCAGGCAGCCACATGGGGGCGAGGAAGCTCTGTGGTACTGGTTGGGGATGGGAAGCTAGTCCAGGAGGAAGGGTGGCCTCACCTTGTGGGGGTCAGGCGATGTGAAGCTATTACATTCCAGGAAGAAAGGGGCCTCAGGGAGCAGCTCATACAGGAACACGCGGGTATCACCCTGAATGAAAGAAGCCGACAGTGAAGTGGCCAGAGGTAAGGTCCCTCTCATCCATCTCACCACTGCCCACACCTGTCCAGCCTACCTTGCCTGTGAGGAGCACCAGGCCAGTGTCCGGGTCATAACTGGGCAACAGCGTTGAAGGAGCCACGTCTAGGCCAAGCACTGCCATGGGCCCGCCCATCAGAGCTCCAGCTGCATACAGGAGCAGCTGGCGTTCACTGCGACTGTAGGGAAGTCGGGCAGAGGCAGGGCCTTAGGGCTGGAGAGGCCAGGCCAGTCCAAGACTTGCCCTAGAACCATTTCCCGGGCACGGGAGAGGCCGAATGTACAGCTGGCAGCAGCCTGATTCTAATCACTGCTGCCCAGCCCTGCCCTGCACAGTCTTGGCCTCCATACCCGTCCGGGGGCCCACATACCTGGACTTTTCCCCCTCAGCTCCACTTGGGTGGGTTACTTCATGCCACCCACACATGAATGTACCCCTTGTGACCTGCTTTTGGTGACACCTCCATTGGGAAGTCCTTCCTGGTCCCTGCTGCAAGCACAGGGTGCTCATATTTCAGGCTAAGGTCTGTTTGCTGTGCTTCAGTGACACCTATCCGACACAGTGGGACAGTGGGACCTGCTCTCAACCCTTTGGGCCCTCTCCAGCCCCACCCCCTCATCTAGCTACCCAACTGCTTCTCTGTCCATTGGCCTACCCACCCACCCATCCAGTGAGAGGCAGACACAGGTCCTGTCAGTCTGCCACTATCTGACTGTGGGGATGGGGTGCAGAGGCAGCTGCTGAAGCCTGGAGATAGTGGTTTGGGGGGTCTTTACCTGTCAAAGCCAGACACCAGCAGACAGCGACCATCACACACCCAGACAATCCGAGCTCCTCGGGCCCCCTCAGGCCCTGGCCCTTCCTGTGGAGACACAGAGCATGAAGCCCAGCTAGAGCCCTTGGGGCTGGCAACCCCCACATGCCTTGCTGCCCATATACACTTGTTCACCTGTAGGGGCTCAGGCCCACGCAGGGGTTCATAGACACGCACACGCCCATCCTTGCACACGGTGGCCAGCTGCTGTCCATCAGGACTCCAGGCCAGGCTGAAGATCTGCCAATATGGAAGGGGTTGAATGGTGGCCTTTGGCCTCATGACTGGGCATCTGCCTTCACAGCTGTCCTACCTGGTCCTGGTGGCCCTGCAGCCTCATCCGCTCAGCTCTTGCTCGAAGGTCCCAGATGCGAACCGTGAGGTCATAGGAAGAGGAAGCCAGCACGTCAGCTGCCCGAGGGTGGAAACACAGGGAGTAGATCTTCTCTGTGTGGCCTGAGGGAAAGCCAGGGTGGGAGGAGTGGAACAGATGCTCCAGGAGGCCACTGCCCCTCCACAGCCCCGGTGGCTTTCTGACCTGTGAGCACGGCGTCAGGCGTGGTGAGCACCTCTTCCAGGCCCTCCGGGGGTACCCGCCACAGTCGGATCCTGGCATCCTCACCAGCTACAAGAAGTGGCTGTTCGTCTTTGCTGGCCTAAGATTCCTGGGCTCTCACCTGGGGCCCGCTCTCAAGCCCAGGCACCCAGCTTCCTTACCCACAGCCAGGCGGTGGGGATCAAAGGGGTCCCAGACTAGATCCATTACGGCTGCCCCGTTCTGCAGCGTGGGCAGTGCTGTGTCAGGCAGGCGACCAGGCTTCCGCAGCTGTGGGAGGTACCCCCATCCCACAGCCATCAGCACCAGGCAGGGGCTGCCACCCTGTGCTACGAACCCACGTGACACTCAGGGAACCCCAGAAAGTGAAGGGGTGGCAGTGTGGAGGAAACTCAGGTAGGCAGGCTAGAAGGCCAGCTCTGTCCGCCCATTACACACTGTATGACCCAGCCAGGTCCCGCAGTTCACTGTGTCTCATCACCCCATCTGCGTCGGGAAGGAAGGACAGGAACAGGAGTGGCATCTACTGCATGGGGTGACTGGACTGACCACAGGGTCTGCCAAGTAGGCACCTGTCCTGGATCCCTATCGGTGAGCTACTAGGGGTAGCTAATGTCCTCAGTGTCCTTGCTGCCTGCTTGCAGGGACCTGAGGAGCAGTCCTGCTGGACTAGGGCAGCTTACCTCCAGCACGGCCACCTGCCCTCCGCTGCTAAGCAGAGGTACGGCCACACGCAGCTGGTTGGCACAGAAGCCATCACTCTCGCCAGGTGTGGTGAGGTTGAGCCCCTTGAGGTTGGTGATGTGGCTGTCTCGGTGCAGAATGGTGCCCTGAGCGTGGCGAAATTTGGAGCTGGGGCCTGGAGAGCAGCGGGGACACCGAGCCATGTGTGAGGATGCTGGGCCTACAGCCCTGCCCCTAAGTCCAGGATGTCAGCTGCCTCCAGCGAGAGAAGATGTATGAGATCCGGCCACCACAGTGTGCCAGGACTCGTGCCAAGGGTCAAGGCCCTTATCCGAAGCTGGGCTCTCTTAGGGGAACCTGGAGTTCTAGGAAGTGCTGCTTGGAACCCTACAGCCCAGGCCTCCCGTCGAGAGAGTAGCCCCACCCCAGCCCCCAGGACCAAGGACTCCGTTGGGAACCCAAGTCTCTGGCTGAACAAGGGGTGTCCCTCTGGGCCAGGACTATGGAGTACAAAGGACAGCTGCCTTCAGGGCTCCTGTGGCAAGGAGTGACTCTTACCCAACAGGCTCTGTAACGACCTCTGGCTGGGGCTGGTCCCAATGCCGCTGGTGCTGGAGAGCGAGGGCCCCAGGCTTGAGGGCGTGGAGGGTGAGGTAAGGGAGCTGGGTGGGGAGGAGAAGCCCTCCTAGGAAGAAGCACCCTGGTTAGCACACAGGCCCTGGGGTGAATAGCCAAAGAGGGGAGTCCAGACCCAACCCCTGGGTCACTGGGCACTTGAGGCTGGTCAGGCGCCTCTGCCTCTGCTGTAAGCATGAAGGGGATGGAGGTGGGTGGAGAGAGGGATGGTGACTTGAGACAACACTGAGGAGGGAGGAAGACAGAGCTCTGAACTATAGGGACAGCAGGTGGCAGCCACCACCCTCTGCTCTGGGGGTGAGATCTATGAACATTTCAAGAGAATCCAAAAAATGGTTTTGATGTGCAAAGTCTGGCTTTTCAAGTGTTTGCTCACTTGAGGAAATACTGCCAAGCTCTGAATGTGAGCTGCATTTTTCAGCTTCCGTTGTGCCTGGTGGCCATGAGGGATTAAGATATATCCCCATCTGGTGGCCCAAGTCACTCTGAGCACCAGCCATGGCCTCAGCTATGGGAGGAGGAGGGGCAGCTTGCTACTTACACTTGGGCTGGTATCATCCACGGGCATCTCTGCAGGCTGGGCCATGCCAGGGGGAGGCTCCACAGGGGGCACCAGGCAAGAGGTGAAGTTGGGATGGGGTCGGTGGGCTGGGTTGAGACTAACTTTCTGCACCTGTGGGGAGGTTGCTGGTTGAACCAGTGGGGTTTCTGGGCCCCCAGGTCAGAAGGGACTGACCTGGTTAGGGAGAGGGGGCACAGAGAGGCCCAGTGACTTGGGTGTAGATAAGCTAGGGGCTTTCAGGCCACTGGAACAGGGAGCCAGGCCTTGGCCCTACCTGCTGGTTGCTCCCAGCCCACCAGGCACGGGAGTCAGAGGCGGGCATGCAGCCAGCAGTGTCCGGGAACAGGTCTTCATGGAACTCCACAGCCTGGAGGCAGATGGGCAGGCTGCTGGTGAGGTCCAGGCCCCTGTTCCAATGCCCAGCCCCAGCTTCCCGGGCAGGATGCCTTCACCTTGCGGGGCACATGGTAACTGATGGGGATGATGGCAGTGTCGCTCAGCTGTAGGACACGCAGCACCTCGCAGTTCATGACAGTCAGTGCCCGTCGGGGAACAAGAACTGCCCCTTGCAGAATGCCCTCCAAGACACACTGAGTCACTGTCGGATACCATACAAGACAGTTGGTGGCAGCCAGGGTGTGAGGTGGGGTAGAGGGTGGGATAACCAGGCCTCACCTGGGCTCAGGGCTGGCTGTTGCAGGGTCACCTCGTAGCAGTACAGCTGACTCTCGCCCTGAAACAAGACCAGGTGTGGCTCTGTTTGCTGCCCACAATGTTGCCCCTGCTGCACCCCAGTACTCTGGGGACAGAGGCAAGGTGGCCACCGGTGCAGGGTTCACATCTGCTGAGCACCAAGCTGGACCCTGGGGGCCTTCCGCTCACTTGCTGCTCATCACAGGTTCAGTGAGTGCCAGGGGCTCTATATTGGCATGCAGCCAGCTGCCTGACTTCCTGAGGTTGCCGTTCCAGGGGCACCACTCAGCTAGGCCACCTGGGCAAAGGCCTGGAGGCATTGGCTGAAGGAGGCTGTGCCTCTAGGTGAGCGCAGGCAACAGCCTGGGCCCTGTGGGGACAGCAGGGCGGGCACAGCCTCTGGGCTGGAGCCCCAGGTGGCAGACGTTGGGAGAGACTCTTTCTTACCTTTCCTGCCAGTATAAGCAGCCCCGAGTCTGGGTCCAACAGAGGTATCAGAGACCTGGAGGGAGAGGAATGGCAGGTGAGGCCTGGGGACCTCAGGATCCTGGATTGGAGCTTCAGCAGTAGCCACAGTAATAGTGAGACACTTGGCACCCTTCCTCCTCTCCCCGTGCTGCCCATATGTGAGCCCAAAACCACATGGCAGGACATGTACAGGGCTTGGGTACAGGAGAGCTCAAGCCAAGTTCTTTCCCCATGCTCCACTGAGACCTCAGCCCGGTTTCCAGGCCAGTGCCACCTGGGATGCCCACGGGGTCTGGGTTAGCACTTCAGGGTTTGCATTCCCAGCCAGGACTATCTGTGCATGGGCCCCAAAGATTGCCAGCTGGCCACTCAGGCTCTGCATTAATGGATGGGGCTCCTGGTGTCCCCTGGCTCCTCTGCACTGACTGCCAGGTACCAGCAACGATAAGCCTCCTCCCACTGCTGGCTGGGCTCCTCCTGTCCCCTCTGTGATCAAGGCAGGAGGGATGCTGGCCCTGTGAGTGCTGTCGTCTGGGCCCAGAGCTCCGACAGTGGCTCTCTTCTGCTCTCGCCTTCTTGTTCCTGGGGCACCCTGAGGCTGGGCTCCCACCCTGGTGCAACACTCAGCCTCAGTCCACTGTGCGCCCAGTGGTTAGAGATTATCCAGCTGCAGCAGCTGTTCCTCACCCAGGTGACAAGTGACACAACTGCCCCTGCCACCCACCCACCCATCCCTTCCTGGAGAGCTGCCCTCCCCCTCCAGGAGCCACAGAAAGGACTAGGAAGCTGGGTGGGGTACCGGGTGTCTCCACCACTTCCTGGAGTATCCTGGGCTGGTCACCTGTGAGTAACACAGGCCCCTAATTATCTCAGCCTCAGCAGGGTGAGCTGGGCTTGGCCTGACCACCGCCTACTGTGGTGGTAGAGGGGGTGGGTAAGGGACACAGACATGGTGTGACTTTGAGTGTCTGACATGCTGACACCAGCGCCAGTGGGGACAGAAGAAGCAGGTCCTATTAACATTCACTCACTCATTCCTTTCACCAGCTAGCCTCTGCCTGGCCCTCGGCTCAGGCTGTAGGAATTGCCAAAAGTGAGGACAAGAGAACTCAGCTGTCCTCAAGCAGTTTACAACTTGATGTGAGTCAGAAATTACCCCACAGATATTACACACGTGCGCGAGAAAGGGTGCCTGAAGATGCGGTGGGGGCTAAGGAGGCATGACCTTGGTTTGGCCACAGCCTTGGGGAAATCCAGCCTGCCACAGGGAGGGAGGACCAGTGATGAGCAGCGTGTGCCCAAGGCAGGTGAGCCCAAGGCCTGCAACAGGAGTGGCGAGGATGCTGGGCCTGGTGCCCTGGGTAGGGAGTTCAGCTCAGGAGGGTGAGTCAGGTAAAGCTGATGGTGAGTTGAAGCATGGCAGATGGGACGGGATGGGTGCTGAGCAGAGACCACAAGTACGGCTGTGTGAAGCTGTCTACGGCATGGGAATAGGTCGTCACGCATGGCTCAGGGCCAAGGTTCAGAGTGGCTCCGTGAGCTGGCTGGGCACTTCTGTGGTCCCCCTGTTGTTTCAGTGGCCAGATGGGAGAAAACCAGGCCTATAGGTCCCTTGCAATATGGGTAAGCTCACCCTGTCTCATAAGCCCTAGCCAGCCACTGACTCAGGAGTTGGGGGCAGGGGCAGGGAGTTGCAGAGGGCAGGGCCACCTCCTCTGACAAGTCAGGCCAGTCTTCCTTGCTCTTGGCAGAGCAATCTGGGAAGCTCTGCCAGGTGGGGGCACCCTGCCTTCCAAGGCATGGCCCAGGCCAGAAATGGGGTCATGGCACCCAGTGGCTGGCACGGGCCTCACCTCAGACCTCAAAGACAGCCAGGCTGGGATCTAGGTCCAGAACGCAGCATGAGTCTCACTCTGGCAGGGAGCCAGAGGTGGTGAGAGCTGCTGTTGCCTTGGCACACACAGGTCTAGAGCCTCAGAAAGATGGAGAGCGGCTTCGGGGGGAGGAGTGGGGTGTCAGCCTCCTGATAATGCCTGCTGCCCTGCCCTCCCACTTGCCACACTCCACGCTCCTGTACTTAGTGAACAGCATGTTTGCTGGGAAACCAACTACAAGACTCCCTCCTCAGCCTTCTCCACCCCAGCCCTCTGGTCCAGAGCCATGCAGGCACCTTGGAGCTGTCCCAATCACCCCCGCTACCACACTCCCTTCTCCATGGTCCTCACAGAAGTTCCTGGTAACTAGCTTATAGGGGTAGGGAAGAAATCCTTGAAAGCATGCAAGGAAAGTCTGGACAGCCTGGGAAGGGGTCTCCTGAATGTCCCCTTTGAGGTCTTTGTGTGGATGAACCCAGGGCACAGGACTGGGCTGGTGGTGGACATTCCGGTCAGGTGTGAGAACTGGCCGCAGAGGGGAAGAGTCAGGCTAAGGGTGCTTGGACGGCCTCAGAGGACACTCAGGGAAGAGCCGTGGAGTCTGACCAGCAGCCGCACGGCGCTGGTGGCCAATGCACACAGTTTGGGAGCAGGTGAGAACCCTTAGTAAGCAAGATCCTCGTGCCCGGTGAATGCAGGTGGTTCCGGAAGATCAGTAAGCCAGATCCTGGCCCAGCCTTACCCGAGACATTCAGTTCACCCAGCACAAGCTAGGAAGCCCTTTTTGGATGCAGAACTACCTGAGTTTTCAATGTTGAGCTGAGAAGGGACCTCGAGGAGGTGGCCATCCCAACCCCTCTTACATGACAGCTGGTTAGGGGCCACCATGAAGACCATGCAGTGCCCCTGGTCAATATGGCATAGCATCCTGGGACGAGACTTTGGGCACCTCCAAGTCGGGAGCCAGTCCAACTAAAGCCCTGGTTATAGGCCGGGCTGGAGCGGCTGCAGGGATCCAAGGCTCTGCGGAAGTTGGGAGCTGAGCTGGGTCCCCAAAGACTCTGAGGCATCACTGTGACCACAGCCGCAAGCAGGCGGGGGTGTGCTGTGTGCTGGGGGGAGGGGCAGCAGAGCATTTTCCTGGAATCTCGAGGCAGGGGATTTTTCTGGGTGAGTCCAGCCCCTGGCACATCACACACCCCTCCTGCCCAATGACGGGCGACTATCAACTGCATTCCACAGCACATCACCCCCCCACACACACAAAATCTGAATTTGACACTGCCAGTAACTGCAGGAAGTCACTTCCTTTCTTAAAGCAGTCCCTTCATTCTTCACCCAAAAGAGGTGGGAGTGCAGGGGGGGTGCTCTCAGCCCTGTAGTCATCCTGGCTACAGGGACCACAAGCTCAAGTCTGGCAGCTCCTGTGAGAGCTGAGTGTGGCTTGCCCTGGAACTTCTGAATTTAGGATTAGCTGCCAACAGCAGCACATGCAGAGATTCAGTCTAAAAATCCGGATTTCTGGAGCTGGTCTTGGGAGCTGGGCCCTCCTGCCAGCACCAGGGGTCTGACTGAGGCCTCTGTCACCTGACTCTACCTCCCTTACATTCGTGATCTCCTTTGGGATTCACTTGCTTTTCACAACGCAGAAACCTCCCCGGTTGTCACTTGGTTCCGCAGCAGCAGACAGACTGGAGCCCGGGACGCCAGACTCCAGACCAAATCGCTCCTTCTGCGCGCTCGGGGAGGTGGCGGGGTGAGGACCAGGCCAGTCCGGCCCGATGACCCCCGGCAGCGGGGAGGGGCGGAGACTTCCAGAGCTCCGCCCGTATCGCCGACCAATGAGAGGCGACCCGCCCTCCTAGCTCTTAAGGCGTGACCCGCCTCCAGCGGGCCGACTCCGGAGCCCGAGCCCGGGGCGAGGAGACGCGAACGCTGCTACCTCGGGAGTCCGGACACCTCCGGACCGGCTGGTCGGGAAGAACTGAGGCCACGGCCACTCCGCCGGGCTCCCCCCGCTGCCACTGCCTGGTGAGTGTCTGCGGGGCCGGGTGGCTGCGGGAGGGGATGCCGGGCAGCGCTGCTCATGAACGGACCCCCCCTGCGTGCACACGCACCTAGGGAGGGACCCCGGCCCCAGCTCCAGCCCTGCACGGCCACCTGCACGGATTCGGGCGCAGGCGACGCCCCACCCCATCCCGTGCGCCTGCCGCGGCGGTCCCGGGGCGCCCCACAGCCGGGCCAGGGTGCGCGTGTCCGCGGCTAACCGGCTGGCGAGGCTGTGAGCAGACAAAATAAACACCCCCTCCCTTGCTTCCTCCTCCTACGGCTGGGCCCTCGGGCAGGCACAGTTTTATGAATCAAACCTCTTTGAGGGGATGGTGAAGCCACAAACTTGGGTCACTTTTCCGTTCTGGGGTCAGACAGTCGGGTGGTCCTGTCAAGAACAGCTGACCCTTTGGCACTCAGAACAGAGAAGGGGTCCGCAGACATGCAGCCCCAGGGAGGGGGGGAAAGCTGGCGGAGATCTGATGCGATCTCCCAGGTGGGGTGCAGTGTGGCTGGCATAGTGTGCCCCATCTGAACCTAGTGGCCCAGAGCCAGCCTAGTCCTTTGTGTCTCTGGGCTGGCAGCGCTGGAGCTTGGGACTGCCGGGTCTCCTGTGGTCATTGGCAAAGCCTGCTCATTGGTGCCAGCCATTCTGCCTCACCCCCGTTGGTTAACAATTACCACACTAGGGTCGCTGACCGCCTTTCCTGCTGGCGCCCAGAGATGGAGTTGCTGGGTACTAGAAGACCCTGGAGGTCTAGCTGTCCCCCTGCTAGCCAGCCAGCTGCACCCAAGGACAGGGTAGGCTCTGGAGGAGGGCATGATGACCCCAAAGCCCCATCCTCAGGCCAAGAGCCTCCGTGAATGAGGACAGGACGGAAGCTCAAAGGTCCCTTCTGATGAGGTTAGGCCTTGGCTGTCCTGGCACAGAGGTGGCCAGGCTGGTACCCACCCCCTCTACCACCCGCCCTTCCAGCAGGGTCCATCAGGAGCCAGCCCAGCTGCTGGCACAGCCCTGCAGAGCTAGGGCAGGCGGGTGAGGGGGATGGGCTCAGAGTCCCCAGAGTTTACTGTCTTCTCCCAGGGGAGTCAGCCCCGGAGCTTCTGTAAA